CAGCCTACTAGCATTGATACTTTTGTTCATTGTTTTAGTATTAAGGACCTATAGAATTCTGGGCACAGGGAATAAAAAGATGTGGTACTTGGAGAACTCTGAATAAGGAGGTTACCCATGGCAGAATAAAAACATTCTTAAGTCCTTCCATTTTCTCAAATAAAATTTGATATAGGGAGATTGAGAGCAGAACATTTCAAAGGTATATGCTGTGAATACAAAATAGATGATTACAAAACAGTCAAGGGATTTTGGTTATGTGCTAAAATCTATTTGTTCCTTCAGAGCTGTTAATGTATATCAGATAGTTAAAAAGCATCTACTCAAGGTTTTGACAATGTTTTAATAACTTAACTAAAAATTCCTGACATGTTTATAGGTCCTTGAGCCAGAAATAATACAAGGCCTTTCAATCATTTTTCCAGAGAAAGATTAGTCAGAAAAGAAGCTCTTAAAAAAAAAAGGAAAAATACTGTTAATTTTCACTCCACATCACTAACTGCTGGAAATCCAAATAGAAAACAGTAAGTTATTGGTTTATGAGAAAATATAGACCTCGAATAATGTTGTGGTAATTATTTTATGTCCCAAAGGTTAAAAAATACTTACTTTCCCCTAGGAAGGCTCTAATTTTATTGAACTAAGCACATCCCATAACAATTAACCATCTATCTGATACTTGATACTCAAGTCATCTTTTTTTTTTTTTTTTTTTTTTTACTCAAGTCATCTTATATGTACTTATCTTAACATGAGCAAGTTGCATCACGTTGGAATTCAGCTGGCTATAATTAATGCCAAGTAAGAATTTTTAATTTGAGTTTTTGAGCCACACACCCTCCCCAAGGGAAATAATTTTAAAATGAACAATGACTGACAATTAGGTGATTTTCAAACAGTATTTTATAACGAGTCATTAGTTGAATAAGACATTGTTTAATTCCTGAATATAAGTGAGAAAATAATGAGCATGCTGGGTGTCCAGATTGCTGCCTCTATGTACAGTTTTCGACTAGAGGAACCACAGTTCTGAGAGAAATGACTGGTTCCTGGGCTAGAGTGGAAAATACAAGATGAACCAGGAATATCTCCTCATAACAGAAAGCTTGCTAGGTGTCAAAAGGTGTCAGGAACCAGTTTAAAGAGGTGCCAGTTTGCTAAAGATTTAAACATTTGAATGTCAAAAGAATAATTGCTATGAATTGAAATGCATCAAGTAGGTGGATGAGTTTGTAATGGCATTTTTAAAACTGATCAATTAGCCCTAACCGGTTTGGCTCAGTGGATAGAGCATCGGCCTGCGGACTGAAAGGTCCCAGGTTCGATTCCAGTCAAGGGAATGTGCCTTGGTTGCGGGCACATCCCCAGTTGGGGGTGTGCCAGAGGCAGCTGATTGATATTTCTAACTCTCTATCCCTCTTCCTTCCTCTCTGTAAAAAATCAATAAAATATATTTTTAAAAATAATAAAATAAAAATAAATAAAAATGATCAACTACCCCTGGCTGGTGTGGCTCAGTTAGCTGGGCATCCTCTTGTGCCCCATTAGGGCACATGCCCAGGTTGCAGGCTCAATCTCCATTAGGGGCGTGCAGGAGGTAGCTGATAGATGTTTCGCTCTCATATCAATGTTTCTCTCTCCCTCTCCCTTCTTCTCTCTCTCTAAAAAAAATAATCAATAAAAATATATTGTAGAATGATCAACTAATGGTGATGGTTGCACAGCTTTGTGAATATACTAGAAACTAGTGAATTTTATGGCACGTGAATTATATCTTGCGGTGTGTTTTTTTAATGATCACCTTTGGAGAAAAGCTACAGAACCAACTCATTATTTTGAAAACTAGTAAAGGGAAAGATCAGGCACTTATACTGTATGAACTGTTCCTCAGGTTAAACACATAGTTGATGAAGGGCATTTTCTTTTAATAGAAGTATTTCAACTAATACATGAAGACTTGGTAGAGTTAGATGCCACCATTTTGCAACCGCTAATGAATCAATGGACCTAGGCAACAATCATCAGTGGCAGCTAAGCAGAGTGACAACCTGACAGATGCCTCATGATGGAAGTACACGATACCACTGATACCATTGTAATTAGCTAGTTATTAATAATGGAAAAGGAGCAAAGGGGGAAGGCCGGGCATTATAAGCATGTCATTTGGGCAGCTCTAGCAGGAAGTCGCAACTTTGCACTCCCCAGGGAACCGCAAACCAATTCCCTGAAAAACATTGGGGGAAGGGATCTAACAAAGGGAAAACAGATGCATACCTAGTAAAGTTGGGGTGACATAGAGAAGGTACTTGCCTGTCAGTCACACCTGGGGACAGAGATGGTTGGCCAGAATGGTCTTGATGACTGCAAACATGCAAATATTTGGGAATACATAATACCCTAAACAAAGGAGCACTCTCTCTTGTTGCTCTCTTGTCATGCTTGACTCTCGGCTTAGGGACTCTTTTTTTTGCTCCTGTTTCCTTGCATTCACCCATACGGCCCATGGCCATGCGGACCCCACACGCAATGCAATGATGGACTGCTGTGCGGAAACACAAGCTAAGCTAGCCTGATGCGGACTAGACCCAGCTCCAACATGAAAAGGAAACTCTGGACACTGGCTCTGATTTTAGCTCTGCTGAAGCCCCAGCTACATTTCTATGACTGGATTAAGGGAAATGGGACTCTGGAAACCGAGGGATGTAATTCCACAGAAATAAAGCTTTCTACTATATCTCATCCTCCCCTGTGAGCCTCAGAAAACTCCTTTTCTCTGGATATCACAAGAATTCCAACCCCACTAGCAACCGGGAAGAGGAGGCCCTCTCCTATCCATTAACACCACTAGCCAAAAAAGTCAAACCTGAGCTTGATCAAGCCTCTAGCTCTAACTGCCAATTTACAGGAAATACAGGGGACAGAGAACTATATCAATGGAACCACAGTGATGTAATCAACTGAATCAAGATGGTGGGAAACTCTGGGACCTGCTTTCTTCAACAAATAAAGAGAAAAAAAAATTGGAGGGGAAACCAATAGATAAGAAAAGACTTAAAAGACATCAATCAATTGCTGTATATGAAACCTATTTCAATCTTGATTCAAGCAAGTGTAAAATAAATATGAGACAATTGAAGAAATGTGAACACTGAGTGGATTGTTTTCAACAATGACAAGATACATGTTGATATAAACAAAGTATTGTTAATTTGGTTTAGGTGTGATTGTATCTTTAAAAGAGTCCTTATGGCCCTAACCGGTTTGGCTCAGTGGATAGAGCGTCAGCCTGCAGACTCAAGGATCCCAGGTTCGATTCCGGTCAAGGGCATGTACCTTGGTTGTGGGCACATCCCCAGTAGGGAGTGTGCAGGAGGCAGCTGATTAATGTTTCTAACTCTCTATCCCTCTCCTTCCTCTCTGTAAAAAATCAATAAAATATATTTTAAAAATAAATAAATAAAATAAAAGAGTCCTTATGTTTTAGAGATACATTATCAAACTATTTACAGATAAAATAATAAGCTATCAGAGATGGCCTTGAAAATAACATGAGAGAGTGAGGACACAGCAGGGGTTGAGGGTGCAGTGGGTGGGGGATGTAATTAAAATAAGACTGGCCACAAGCACACAATTGTTGAAGCTGGATGATGGACACATGAGTGCTTGATGTATTATCCTCTTTGTGTGTGTATTTAAATTTTTCTGTTTTACATTTTTATTGAATTTAATCGGGTGACATTGGTTAATAAAATTATATAGGTTTCAGGTGTACAATTCTATAGTACATCATCTATATATTATACTGTGTGTTGACCACCCTAAATCAAGTCTCCTTCCATCACCATTTATCCCCCTTATACCCTCTCCTAAATCCTCTCACCCCGCCTTTCCCTCTGGTTGTATATTTGAAATTTTCCACCGCAAGTATAAAAAACAAACAACAGCCGAAACCGGTTTGGCTCAGTGGATACAGCGTCGGCCTGCGGACTCAAGGGTCCCAGGTTCGATTCTGGTCAAGGGCATGTACCTTGGTTGCGGGCACATCCGCAGTAGGAGATGTGCAGGAGGCAGCTGATCAATGTTTCTCTCTCATCGATGTTTCTAACTCTCTATTCCTCTCCCTTCCTCTCTGTAAAAATATCAATAAAATATATTTTAAAAAAAACACAACAGTACAAAGACAAAAATACTTCAAATATCAAAGAACCTTTGGAGTGGGGCAAGCATTAGATATTAATTGCTTCCTTTCTCTTTTCTATGGACCTTATACCCACTTTCTAAATCAATAAAATTAGACCACTTATGATTAAGAAAACTGCAGTGGTTTTCAAATTTGCAAGGGCACACCTTACTAAAGATGCAGACTCCTGAGCCTCAATTCCCAGAAATTCTGATTTTTAGTAGGTCTGGGATAAAGTTCAGGAATCTGCAATTTAACCAGCATTTCAGGTGAGTACACAGACAAGTGGGCACACACCAATGGTACTATAAGAAATATTAGTACATCCTGGTAAATGCCTCTTTGCTCATATTTATAAGTTTCACTTGCAGTATGAAGAAGTAAAATTGCTGGATATGCCACATTTTCAATATTACTCTCCAAAATGACTATACTAATATACATTCTCTCCAGCAGAAGAGAATTCCCAACTCCCCATTCTGTGGCCAACACTTGATGTGCTCATACTTTTTACTTTTTGCCAAGAACATAAGTATCTTACAGAATGACCTTTCAGTTAGCAACATTTGTTAAAGCAGCTTTTGAAAATTCCCCCACATTTTGAACAAAGACTCCTTTTTAATGATGTTTCATTATTGTAATTATTTTCACTATTCTAATTCAAATGACTTTTCACCCCAAAATGGTTAAATAAATATGCTCAAAGGAGTGACAATGAAACATTACATTTTAAGGCAAAAGTGTTCTCACCAGTTATAGGACATAATTCCTCGTCAGAGAATCTCATATGGAATAAATTTGAATTGTGCTCTGTGTTTACATGAACCACAAATGATTTTTACTTGTTTTTGCATTCAGGCATCAAGCAAATAGAAACAACCCAAATTGAGAGCAAAACAGGAAGAAGCAGCTGGCAAAAATGTGGAAAGTTTCGTAATTCTCAAAAAGGTGAGGCAAGCCAAGGACACAGTAGTAATCTGACTGAGTAAAATTAAGGTTTCTATAAAGTGTGAATTGCACATATGACTTCTAAGTGACCTAGCAATGGAACCCCCCACTTTATGGTCATTATATTCAGGGAAAATTCACATGAAAATCAAGTAAGTAGTCAAGTGTCAGAGTATTACGTGATCTGGTCCGGTCAGTTTGGGAAGGCTTTTGCTAGAAAAAAAATGACTTTGTGAGAAGACCTAAAAAAATGGATTATGAATAAAAGGTTCAAACTGAGCCTGTGCTCTGGAGCAGAGCTTCTCAAACTTTAATGGGCACACAGGGCCCCTGGGGATGTTGTGGAAATGCTCCTGATGCAGGATGGGGCCTGAGAGCCTGCATGCCCCACAAGCCCCAGGGCAATGCTGAGGAAGCAGGGCTTTCTGGATCCTGCAGAGCTGTCGCTCCTCACTCTGGCATTGCATGAAGTCTGTTACCGAGAAATCCTGTAGCGCAAACACCTGCCAGCTCTGCTACTAGAAAGACAGTGGCACAAGGACAAGGCAGAAACCCATTTGGGGCTGGGCTTGTGGCAGCCAGTGGCTTAGAGTCCTCCCGTGGGCATGGTGTGGCCCAGGAGGGTTGAGAGTCAACAGCTCTTGGCATTGATTCTGCGTCACCCACATCCATGCCCCTAGGAACTGGGTGTTCAGGTGTGGAGGAGAATGATGAGAGCGTTGAAACGGAGACAATGACCAACAAATTACAGGTGCGTGACGTTCCTGGCCAAGAAATACATGATGAAAGATGTTTTATTTTATTTTCTTAATGTTTGTTTACTGACTTGAGAGAAAGAGAGAGAGGAAGGGAAGGAGGGAGGGAGGAAGGGAAGGAGGGGGAGGGAGAGATTTGTTGTTCCACTTATTTATGCATTCATTGGTTGATCCTTGTATGTGCCCTGACCCGGGATCAAACCAGCAACCTTGGCATATTGGGACAATGCTCTAACCAACTGTGATAGCCGGCCAGGGCATGAAAGATTTTTTAGAAAAAGGTTTTTCTGAGCTTAAGGGAGGTCTCCCTTAAGTGTAGACTGAGAGAACTTACCCCATTTCAGGGAGGATTACCTAATTACACACATATGGCAGTAAGTTTCAGCTACAAAAGAAAACAACCTGCGATCCTCAAGACAGGAGAAAACATCATTTGTTCCGCACACTACTTGATGCTTTGCGGTGAATTCTCTCATTTTAGACTTCATCGCATTCCAGAACAGGGTGGTGCTGGCCTTTAAGGTGACCAGATTCAGGAACTCAAACTATGTTGTCGGGATCCCTTTGCTCTCCGGCTGCCTCAGCTCTCTCATTCCTCCTGGGGGCCCACAGGCTTCCTGCAGACGTGGCAGAGGCAGCTCCTGGCTCACATGATCATAGCTCAGTAGCACCAGAAGAGAGAGATGGAGTCTCCCTCCTGGTTTCACCATAGAAGGTCTCCAGTTGTCTTTCTGCCATGTGCTCGCCCTTGGATCCATCACAGTGGCCAAGAGAATGGAGCAAGAGAACTGGCCAGGCCCTAGCCGGTTTGGCTCAGTGGATAGAGCGTCAGCCTGCGGATTAAAGGGTCCCAGGTTTGATTCTGGCTAAAAGCACATGCCCCAGTTACGGGCTAGATCCTCCCCAGTGGGGAGCGTGCAGGAGGCGGCCAATCAATGATTCTCTCTCATCATTGATGTTTCTATCTCTCTATCTCTCTCCCTTCCTCTCTGAAATCAATTATATATATATTTGGCCAGGGGCTGAGGGTACTGTGATTCAAAATCCCATCAGAATTAAAAGGGTGGAGTGAGAAAAATAAACAAATAAAAGAGAAGTTTGGCCCACAAGTGCAAAGGGTACACAATGGGGAGGTCTATGAGTTGCCCCACTATACAGATGATGGCAGTAAGGATTAGGGGTCAAGAAACTTGCCCAAGGTCATACATCCAGTATAAATTGAGGAGGCCGGGATACAAACCAAGGCAGTCCCACCTTTGCTTTTAACCACTATGCTACAAGGCAACAAAGACCGTTTGGTTTCAGACTTCTCTGCAATATCAGCTTTCAGAAGAAAATAGAGCAACAGCTAGACATTTTTAGAGGGAAAAAAATTGTAACCAAAGATTCGTACACTCTGCCAAACTGTCTTTCACAACAATAGCTAACAAATATTACACACACCGTGTGGCGGGCACTGCTGTAAGTTCTAAGGGGACCTCTGCGCTACTACGCCTGAGCTGGGGGAGGGAGGATGGTGTCCCACTGCTCTAGAGTGACACATCTGTTTTACAAGAGGGGAACGGGGCAGGGATCATCGGCCTGGGTCCTCTCTTGCTCCTCCTCCTGACTTAGAACCACTGCCCTGTGAGCAAGTTGAAGCAGGGGGGTCAGTACCACGTTTAGTAGAATTTTTGTCCTACTGGGGAGACTGGGCAGGGGAGGGAGCTTCAGTCCTCTCCCCTGCATCTGCCTGGATGAAGCTGAGAGATCTGCCGGCTTGCCCTTCCTGGAGTGAAACCATGGCCTAAGACTGGCAGCGGGGGTGGGGTGGGGGGTGGGGGAAGAGAGTCCCATCTTCTGGGCTGAATTTTCCAACAGAGCTTCCATCACACTGAGTTGGGGAGCGGGAAGCAGTTCTCGGCTCAAATGCTACAGACTCCCACTGTTCTTACTAAGGTTTAAGCAGGAGATTTTCTTGAATGAATGTTTCTATTTGCTGTATGTCCTTGGGACAAATTCCAGAGACTTTAAACGGTTGGGTTTTTTAAAAATAATTTTCACCAGCTAAATGGTTCTTTTACTGGGGAGAGTGTCTCTACTAAACTCCTCACCTCAACGTTTTGGAAATCGGCTGCCTCAATCAGGTGCTTTCTTTTTAAAGTGAAAAATACATTTGGTAGCATTTTAAACTCATGATTCAAACATATTCCATGTGTTTCAATCCACTGCAATTATTTTTATTGGTGCTCAAATTATACCAACTGTGCCTAATAGGAACTTCTTTACATTGGTTCCTGAATCCTTCTGACATGACCCTCAGTCGTTCATAGCTTTCTTGCTATTAAAATACTTGAGTACATTACCTCCCCCAGACCCAGAGGATGCTCTTGAAAACCTTAAAAGTCACATTTAGCAGTATCAAAAAGAGTATAGATATCTTCCAAAGAAATGAATCAGATAAAAGCAAACAGTCAAAAGGGGAAACAAACAAATTTTAAAAATCGTCACGAATGAGACATGGAAGCAACCAAAGCATCCTGCAATAGAGGACTGGATAAGTGAAATAAATCAGTCAGAAAAAAGCTAAGAACTATATCATTTCACTCATATGTGGGATAGAAAACAGAAACTCATGGACACAAACATAAATAAATAAACCACAAAAATTTTAAATCATAAAACAAATAAAAATGATAAGGAAACATTAAAAATAGCATAGAAAAATATGACATAAATAATTAAACAAATGCATTAGTGATCACTATAAATATAAATGGGATCGACTCCCCTATTAAAGATTAAGATTCACAATTGGATTAAGAGGTCAATCTTGCTATTTCGGACATGGATGGACCTCTAAAGAGTATTATGTTAAGTGAAATAAGTTGGACAGAGAAAGACAAATACCATATGATTTCACTTATATCTGGAATCCAAAAAACAAATGAACAAACAAAACAGAAACAAACTCTTAGATACAGAGAACAAACTGATGGTTGCCAGAGGGGAGAGGAGATGGGGGTTTGTGCAGAAAAGAGGAAAGGGATTAAGAAGTACAAACGTCCGGTTATAAAATAAGTCATGGGGGATGTAATATACAGCATAGGGAATGGAGTCAATAACATTGTAATAACTATGGACAGGGACAGATGATTACTAGACTTATTGTGTTGATCACTTTGTAAGGTACATAAATAGATCACTGTGTTGTACACCTGGAACTAATATAATATTGTATATCAACTGTAATTAAAAATAAGTTTTAAAAATAAAATTTGAATTTCATACTATTTAAATGAATCACAAAATGAAACACAAAATTAAGGTAAAGAAAAGGGGGAACATATAAAACAAATGCAAATTAAAAGAAATCAAAGATGGAAATATTTATGTTAGTAGAATCTGACATTAAAAAGTAACACTGAAGCCCTAACCGGTTTGGCTCAGTGAATAGAGCGTCGGCCTGCAGACTCAAGGGTCCCAGGTTCGATTCCGGTCAAGGGCATGTACCTTGGTTGCGGGCACATCCCCAGTGGGGAGTGTGCAGGAGGCAGCTGATCGATGTTTCTCTCTCATCGATGTTTCTAACTCTCTATCCCTCTCCCTTCCTCTCTGTAAAAAACCAATAAAATATATATTTTTTTAAAAATCTTTTTAAAAAAAAGTAACACTGAGCCCTAGCCAGTTTGGCTCAGTGTTAGCCTGCGGACTGACGGGTCCCAGGTTCGGTTCCGATCAAGAGCATGTACCTAGGTTGCAGGCTCGATCCCTGGCCCTGGTTGGGACACGTGCGGAAGGCAACCAATCGATGTGTCTCTCTCACATCAAATGTTTCTCCCTCTCTGTCTCTCCCCTTCCTTCCACTCCTTCTAAAAATCAATGGGAAAATATCCTCTGGTGAGGATTAACAACAAAAAAAGTGACACTGAAATTTATAAAGCCAAAATATGAAGGATAAAGAATCATTTAATAATATGACTAATAAATCTGAAAACAAATATGCATACTAGATAATACCCCGTTTTCCCCCCCCTAGTGCCCATGCAACATTTACAAGAATAGAATATATAGCTGCACGCACAGTGGCACTAAAACAGGGTTAAATTGCTGAAGAAGGGGCCCAAAAGGGCAAAGCTTTCAAATGTACAGGGAAAGGACACCCTACAGCAAGAGCCTGTAAATCAGAATAAACATCACAGCATGTGACTCACAGCAGGGGTCTGGAGAGGCCAAGTACAGGCTCCTTATCTCTTTCCTGCCCCAGGCCTAGAATCAGCCATTTCTTCAAAGAGCTCTGGTTCCATTTATTGGAGAATGGTATTTAGAAACAAAGGTCTGGATGTGTTCTCATTGCTGCTGAGTGTCACTGTTTCTAGGCCATCTCAGCACTCAGAGCCAGGAAATATTATCTAAGCATACTATCTCACGTATACTTACATATCTGTATTTCTGTATCTACCAACTAGAGTACAGTATTTATGTGCAGTTCTTTTTGTCATTAGTTTTACATTATCTAGTCAAAGCACCATCTTTCTTTTTTTTTAATTTAGGTATAATTGACACATAATGGATGTCAGGTGTACAAAAATAATGATTCAAGAGTTGATCACCACAATAAGTCTATTTAACACCCATCACTGTACATAGTTACAGAATTTTTTTATTAAAAAATTTTAATGTAGCCTAACCGATGTGGCTCAGTGGTTGAGCACCGACCTATGAACCAGAAGGTCGAGGTTTGATTCCCGGTCAGGGCACATACCCAGGTTGTAGGCTCAATCCCCAGTAGGGAGAATGCAGGAGGCAACCGATCAATGATCCTCTCTCATCATTGAAGTTTCTATCTCTCTCTCCCTCTCTGAAATCAATTTATTTATTTATTTTTTTAAATATATTTTATTGGTTTTTTACAGAGAGGAAGGGAGACGGATAGAGAAATAGAAACATCGATGAGAAAGAAACATCGATCAGCTGACTCCTGCACACCCCCTACTGGGATGTGCCCGAAACCAAGGTACATGCCCTTGACCAGAATCAAACCCGGGACCCTTCAGTCCACAGGTTGACGCTCTATCCACTGAGCCAAACCGGTCAGAGCTGTAATCAATTTTTTAAAATCTTAAATTAAAAAAAAAAAAGATATCCATGTCTTAATCCTCGGAATCGATGAATGTTACCTCATATGGCAAAAGGGACTTTGCAGATGTGATTAAGTTAAGGATCTCATGATGGAGATTATCCTGGATTATCCAGGTTGGTCTTAAATGTCATCCTAAGGGTGCTTAAGAGAAAGCTGTAAGAAAGTCAAAGGAGGGAGGAGGAGTCATGAGAATGGAAGCAAGAGGTTGGAACAATGGGAGGAAGGAGTCAGCTGAATACAGGAGACTTCCAGAAGCTAGAAATGTCAAGGAAACAAGTTTCACCCTGAGGCTCCAGAAGGAACCAGCCCTACCACACCTTGACGTTAGCCTAGTGAAACTGATTTCAGACTCCTGGCCTCCAGAACTGTAAGAGAATACATCTGTGTGGCTGTAAGCTACCAAGTTCGTGGTAGTTTTTTACAGCAGGGATATTCCTATCGCTATACGTATCCCTATGGTTTTTGCCTTTTCCAAAATATCACATGAGCGGAATCATACAATACTTTTGGGTCTTTGGAGTCTGGCTTATTTCATTTAACAAAATGCATTTAAGATTCATCCATGCTTATGTTATGTATATTTTACCACTAAAAAGAGATTCATGCATGTTGAGTGAATCAAGAGATATTTCCCTCACTGACTAGTGTTCTATTGTATTCATCTACCAGTTTATCATCCACCTGCTGAAGGACATCTGGTCGTTTCCAGTTTTGATGAATAAAGCTGCTATAAACATTTGCACATAAATTTTTGTGTGCACATAAATTTTCAATTAACTTAGCTACTAAAACTCATAGGTATTCATAGCTTTTAGGACATGGAGATGTAAATTTAAATACCATTACCCAGGAAACACATTATTAAGTAGTACAAACAAAAAGAATCGCCGGCCTTTTAAGGCCAAGGTTACGTTCACAGAACAAGCCATAAGTTCTGATTTCCAGATGTCTTACAAGACCCAAAAGTATTATATGATTAGACATAACATTTTCAAGGACATTTTAAGAAACAAGAAAATCATCTTATTCTGTTGCTGGAATTTCTTTCTTTCTCTCTCTCTTCCTTCCTTCCTTTCTTTTTTTAAGAGAGAGGAAGAGATAGAGAGAGAAACAACGATCAATTATCTCCCATATGTGCCCTGACCAGGGATCAAACCCACCACCTTTTGGTCAAGGGAACAATGCTCCAACCAACTGAGCCAGAGTGGCTGAGGCTCTTGCTGGGATTTCTTACCCCAGCAGTTAGGAGGGTCTGTGAGTTTCCAGTTCAAATGCTGAAATTCTGTTATTTAGAACTGAGGGAAATAAAGACAGATCTAAGGTTAAAACTTACTATGGAAAGGAAAGGGACAAAATAGAATTATAAACAATTGAAAATGACCATGTAGTGTTATCCAGCTACAGTGAGAACAGAAAAAAACTGATAATGAATATTTGAATTTCTGATTTATTATATTGGCAATACATTCACCCCTGGTCCTTAGTATTGTCTGCTATGAAACTTGTCAAATCGTTTCATAAACTCAGTAAAACTTATCTGCTTTTTCCAACAGATGTGCAATGATACCTCTGCCAGTAGAGTTTTGCCTGAACAAAGAAAAAAATAAGTCATTCAAACATAAAAATGACAAAAATTTTTCCATAAGGGCCAAAACTTCAGAGGAATAATTCCAAGTCACAATCCTCAAAGCAAACTCAGGTATGAGTCACATACCTAAACGGCTTGTAAAACCACCTACAAAGTGTATAACAAGTATTTGTTGGTACATGGGACTTTCTCTTACTTACAAGCTAACAAGTTAGCCTGTTTCTATTCCCTGGAAGCCAACAGCACAATAAGTATGAGCATCATCAGCATATTTGCATGGACTCCCCACTTCCTCAAGTCCCACAGGGGCAATGTGGAGGGGCCCAGGCGGACACACTATGTACCCAATGCGGGTTTGCATCGCAGCCAAGGAATACTGGCCTTGGGGAATTCACATCTTTTTAAAAAATATATTTTTATTGATTTTTAGAGAGAGAGGGAGAGGGAGAGGAAGAGAGAAACATTGATGTGAGAGGGAAACATCAATCAGCTGCCTCCTGCACACTCCCTATGCAGGATTGAGCCTGAAACCCAGGCATGTGCCCTGACTGGGAATAGAACCCAAAACCTTTTGGTGCATGGGACAGTGCCTAACCACTGAGCACACTGGCCAGGGCTGAACTCACATTTTTTATGGCAAACGTGCTTTCTGTCCAAGAAGGAGATAGCATCTCATCTCTCCAGGCAACTCCCTGCAAATACCGCCTTGAGAGATGAAGGTCCAGGTAAAGAGGGTCAGGGACTCGCATTCTTGGCATACAAAACAAGAACATCAGGGACACTCTGGGCTCTGACAGATTGTATCTCCCAACAATATTATGCCTCGAGAGAAAATAGGCCATCTCTCTTTCCACATGAAATGAACAATAAGAGATAATGCTCAAAGTTTTACCCTTAGGAATATTTCCCTTCACCACTGCTTTCAGGGGCTAGAATGCAGCCATCCATTTTTACCCAGTGACAGCAAACTGTGCATATACCAAGCCTGTGTTTTGCTGTTGTCCAATCATAGAGAACTCTCTGGAAGCCATAAATGTGAGTTAAGGAAGAAATATATCAGAGGGAGCAAGTACCATAGCAGGGTTGTTGTTGTTTTCCAATATATATTCATCTTTATTTTCCCATTATTAGTGGAAATATTACATGAGAAAGGGTTTTTTTTTTTCAAATGAAAATTCTATAGAAAATTATTAATGGTATTATCTTCTATGTAGTTCCTAAGATGGTGGTTCCTTTTCTATTAATATGTTTATCTTTTCATAGGGTTGGGGTTTTTTGTTTTGTTTTGTTTTGTTTTGTTTTTGAGAGAGAGGGGAAGGGAGAGATAGAAACACCTATGAGAAACAGCAACATCGATTGGCTGCCTCCTGCACACCCCCTGTTGGGGACAAGGGATGGAGCTTGAAACCCAAGCATGGGCCCTGAACAGGAATCGAACAGGTGACCTCCTGGTCCATGGGTAGATGCTCAACCACTGAGCCACACCGGCCAGGCTTCATAGAGTTTTAATAATATTAGTCTAACATAAGCAAAATGAATCTCATAGCGATGGCACCAAAAAATGATAAACGTTGTAAGGATATCCAAACTTTAGCTTGTCACCATTAAGACCATGGGAGTTTATTTTTTTATTGATTTCAGAGAGGAAGGGAGAGGGAGAGATAGAAACATCAATGATGAGAGAGAATCATTGATGGGCTGCCTCCTGCATGCCCCCTACTGGAGATCGAGCCCACAACCCAGGCATATGCCCTTGACTGGAATCGAACCTGCGACCCGCAGGCCGACGCTCTATCCACCGAGCTAGGGCAAGACCACGGGAGTTTAAAACACTTCTTCATACACATGTGCTTTCTGACTAGCTGGGACTCAATCACATGTACAACGTTATCATCTCCTAATAGAATATAAAAATGTCACATCCAATTTTCTATTTCCATGGATGAGAAAAGACCTGTTACCTGATAGTCATCTCAAGCGGCATACACCCCTCTCCTTTCACGTTTTACATTTCCTGCCTTCGCTTTCTGAGTGAAACTGTCCAGAAACTGGAAGGCAAAGAAACCTGTAGATACAGTCCCTTCCCAGGGCACAAAGCAGACAGAGAGGAGTGGAGTGGATCTGGAAGGGCAAATGGGAGATAGCCAGCGCAGCCCATAAATGGCATTGATGTCATTGGTGTGATTTTCTAAACCATTAAACCATTCTTGGTAAAGTTCCAAACAAAACAACACACACTCCTTTCAATTTGTCCAGTGGTTCCGTTCCTGGAAAATTCCAGGATATTAAAACTGTGCAAAAAAGACTGTGAGTTATGCTCGCTTCGGCAGCAATAGACTAAAATTGGAATTATACAGAGAAGATAAGCATGGCCCTGATGCTAGAATGACATGCAAATTTGTGAGAGCATTCCATATTTTTAAAACTTCAATTTTTGAAAAAGAAGAAAGTACTGGGGAGCTGACATGCAAAATGAGATTGGGTTTGGGCTCAGACCATTACAAATAGCTTTTTCATATATGTGACTATCTAAGGGGACATTTGAAAATTACATAAGAGGTAGGAAAATCTGTCCTGGAAAGAATGTCACATGCATTGAAGAACATATGACATTCTTGGCTCCTTCCCATTAACTGCCAGGAAATCCCTGCCAGGGGAGTCCTGTCAATCACTGTAACAACCGAAATAGCCCCACATGTGTTCAAAGCATACCCTTGGGTGGTACTGCCCTCAGTGAGACCCACTCTCCTAGGTGAAATATTCTTCCCTGCAGAATTTGAGTTTGATATTTCATCCTCTTAGTGTCCGGGGGCAACACAAAATGGAAGAAATGACTTCTCAATTTATGGGTCCTTGTTCAATCCAATATACTAAAGTCTCTGGCCCAGTGACGGAACGCTGACTGCCATTTCTGGCGACACATACTTGTGAATTTAAAATTTCTGATTTCGTATAAATAAAAACCAAGAAAATAACTGGATGTGGAGCTCACGCTTCATATGGAGCCCAATAAAAGTTTTTTTTTTAATATATTTTATTGATTTTTTACAGAGAGGAAGAGAGAGAGATAGAGAGTTAGAAACATCGATGAGAGAGAAACATCGATCAGCTGCCTCCTGCACATCCCCCACTGGGGAAGTGCCCACAACCCAGGTACATGCCCTTGACCGGAATCGAACCCAGGACCCTTCAGTCTGCAGGCCGACGCTCTATCCACTGAGCCAAACCGGTTTCGGCCCAATAAAAGTTTTAAAAGAACCATATTCCATGTCACTTGGTATTAACCTATAACATTTTTCTACTTTTAACTTTAATACATTTCAAGTAATACATACACATTATATAAAATTACAAAATATAGACACAAAAGTACAAAGTAAAAACATCACATACTGTGGTAGACAGAATAATGGCCTCCCCGCAAAGATGTCCATGACTTAATCCCTTGAATCTTTTTCACGGCAAAAGGAACTCTGCAGATGTTACTAAGTTAAGGATCTTTTGGTTTGTTTTTTTTTATTATTTTAGAGAGAGGGAGAGAAACAGGAGAGGAGAGGCCCAGATGTCCAGGCATGTGGGAGAGGGGAGAGGGGAGAGGGGAGAGAGAAAAGAGAGAGAGGCATTGATTTGTTGTTCCATTTATTTATGCATTCATTGGTTGATTCTTGTATGTGACCTGACCAGGGATTGAACCCACAACCTTAGTGTATCAGCACAATGGCCTAACCCAGTGGTCGGCAAACTGCGGCTCGTGAGTCACATGTGGCTCTTTGGCCCCTTGAGTGTGGCTCTTCCACAAAATACTGACTTCTGCGCATGGGCCACAAAGTTTCAATCACACTGTACATGCGTGCCCGCACGTGGTATTTTGTGGAAGAGCCACACTCAAGGGTACAAAGAGCCGCATGTGGCTCGTGAGCTGCAGTTTGCCGACCAGGGGCCTAACCAACTGAGCTACCCAGCCAGGCTTAGGGTCATGAGATAAGGAGATTATCCTGGATTATCCTGTTGACTCCATGTAATCACAGGATCTTCCTTAGAAAAAGCAAGATGTTCAGAAGGCAGAGAAGGTGATATGATGAAAGAAGCAGATACTGGAGTGATGCAGGCAGAGCCAAGGAATGTTTGCAGCCTCTCGGGGCTGGAAAAGGCAAGGAATGGGTTCTCCCCTACAGCCTCCATTAAAGTCTGTGGTGTTTTAAAATCTATCATCTCTCCACATTTATTAATTGGCATTCATCTTTTGAAGTAGAGCTCCCCTTATCCACTGGGGATATTTGGTTATTGAAATACAGATTCTACTGGAAAGGCAGAAAAATGATTAACTCGATAAAAAAAAAAAAAAAGAAAGAAAGAAAAAGAAAAATGATTAACTCTTTATTAATAGCCAAATTACATAGTAAGAGTTGATTTAATAGCTGCCTCGAATGGTGACAAGTAAACATTTTCAGACTTTTGAACATCATTATTAAACCATGGATTTTCATAGATTCCACCTGTTGCAATTCATTGCCACCAAGAATCTTCATAAGGCCCTAAATGCCCTGACTCCGGCCAGTGCAACGTGACCCCATTGATCTTTGAGAACTACTGATTCCTAGCACAACAAAATATCCCTGGCTTTCCTTGCACTTTTCCTGTCCCAGCCCTGGAATAAGCTATTTCTCCAAAAGGCCCAGCTTCCTTTTACTGGGGAATGGTTTTCAGATACCACAACCTGAGCACCAGGGAGGTTCATTATTCGAACATTACAATGAATGGTGGCAATGCTGTTAGGCCATTTCAATAGGTAGAACTAGAAAAATTCACATAGTGTGGCTGACAGCCTCTAGGGTGGCCCCCATAATCCCTGCCTCCTGGTGTTCATGCTTCTGTGTGCTCCCCTCCTCATGAAAGTGGGAGGAACCATGACTTGCTTCTAGTCGTTAGCAGATGACAAAGGTGACAGGTTGCATATAATATGATTATAGTCTGTAGGACTGTTGCCAGCCTTACAAAGAGACTATGTCCCTTACTGTCTTTAAAGAAGCCGCCTGCCATGCTGAGAGCTGCCTATGGAGAGGGCCACTTGGCAAGGAACTGAGGGCAGCCAGCAAGAAACTGAGACCCTCAGTCCAGCAGCCCGCAGGAACGAAAAGCTGCCAACAACCACGTGAGCATGGAAGCAGATGCAATGGGAGCCTGGGCAGGCACCTTGACTGAAGCTTTGTTAGTCCCTGAAGCAGAGTACCTAGCCAAGCCATGCCGACTCCTGACCCGCAGAAAAAGACAGAGAATAAATGTGTCTTGTGTTAAGCCTCTAAGTTTGTGTTCATATTATTATGTAGCACTAGATAACTAATGTACTATTTAATAATGGGTTTATGTGAATATTTTCAATTCAATTTTAATATTATAGTGTTTTCTTTAATTTCTTGGATTTTATCCTAATTTTTTTGTTTGTTTGTTTTTTACAAGTAATGGAACTTCTAGCCCTATCCCCTGGAGGACTGCACACCAAATTTTGAAAATAAGGGATCTCCTCTATTTTTTCATTCTTCCTCTCTTTGAAGGGGAACATTTATTCATTAATATTTTTCTCCTATGGCCTTGCTCACTTAAGTAAACTAAGTCTATGAAATCACTTCAAAATAATTTTAGTCCTAGGATTCCTTTAATTACTGTAATATTTCTTGTTAATGTAGCACTTCGTGGCTTAAAGTGATTTTTTTCATGTATAAGTTTCTCTAATAAATTTGGAGCAACATTCAATTAATAGAAATTTGATTTAGGCAAAATTAGAATACAGATTATTTGCTTCTCTCTAACAGTGTTTATTTCCCCAAAAAAGGCACATCTATGCTTTTAAAATGTTTTTTTAAAAAACAGTTAAATACATAGTTTGATTCTTTGTATTTTTAATAAATATATGAAATAGAAATTCAAAGTCCAAGCTCTGGACAACCATTTATGATGAACAAAGATGTGCCTAATTTAAACCAACCACTTCTTTTTTAATATTTAGTAAGGAATATTTATTTTATCTTTAAATTATACAAGTACATTAATATTTGTATTATTTCTGCTCAAAAACTAAATGTCTCCATACATCCACTTGAAATGATGTTATAATACTAATAAAAGAAAAACACTCAGATTTTTAATACTTATTTATCACTTTCAGGTTTAACACAAGATGTTATAAAACAAATAATTCAACCTGACAAATAACATTTCCCAAAAGTACTATTTTCAGTAACAATTTCTCTCTATTAACTGAGGCTTGACAATAAATATTGTAAAATATCTCACAACCACCCTGCACATGGGTCAATAAATATTACTGTAATATATTTCATAGAAGGTAACAGGACAGGTTTTATAGAAGCTTAAGAAACAATGGTTAAGTTCTCCTGACCAAAAATGTATCCACTAAGGAAGAGATTAAATGATGTAAGTCAAAGAATTTTCTGGCACAACTTCATATGTTCCTTAAAACTCTGTTCTGTCGTGAAACTTTTTTTTCTGGATTATTAATGCATTAAAGAGGTTGAGGGAACATTGAGAAAAAGGTCTGGGTCTAGTATAGAGCCTGGCATATCAACTCAATTAATGTTAAATAAATAAATTGACAATTACTGGAAGGAAAGAAGGAAGGAGTGCAAAGAGTCTAATGAATGACCTTAAGTGGCTTTAAGTTTCTCTGAAATATATTTAAATATTTTTAAGGTAATAAAGAAATACAAAGCAATGAAGGACTGAAGGAAGTTAGCCAAAACCTTAGTGAAGGCTGATTTCCATGAAGCAATGAAAGAAATAGGTTATAAACACAAAAATGAGGCTTATGTAGACTGTGGGTACAACGTCTACTTTAAAATTTTGGAATCCATGTCATTTTGTTTATAAAAGGATTAGTCTAACCTTTGAGATTGTGAGAAACTGGAGATCTACTAGTACACTGAGATCTCACAACTTATCCAGTCTTTGACCAAGCAGCAACTTCAGTCAAGAGACAGCAATTGTCACTGGAGTGCTATTGGACTCCACAGGAAAAATACTGCCCTCTAGGGAACATTATGGATGGTTGTTAATACTTTTTTTTTTGACACGTTGGAGTGAAACTACAAAACATTAATGAAAAAGGGAATCTTAAAAGCCACAAGAGAAAAAAGGTATTACCACTAAGAAATGAAAATTATATAACCGACAGACTTTGTATCAGTCACCAACTGCTGCCAGAAGACAGTGGAATGATATTTTCCAAGTGAAAAAGGGAAATTATTACCAACATAGCATTTTATACCTAGATAAATTACCATTATACAGGCAAAATACAGACATTTACAGACATAAAAAGTAGTTTACCACTAACAGAAATACTGTGGATGTGCTGATTTATGGTGCCAGCCAAAATAGAATAAACCCACTATAGTCTATCTCTC